CCTAAGAAAATGAGAAGAAGAGGTCCAGATGAACTTCACACCACTTCTTACAGAAAGGGTCTCACACATACTTGTAAGAACTGCCTACAACTAGGCCATAACAAGGCATCGTGTAAAAATCCTACAAATCCAAGGTCTAAACTTTACAAGGTATTTGTAGCTTTTTAATATTTTTTTTCCTTTTAATTACTTGAATTTTTTCTTGAAGGATTTCAAGCATTAATTGTTATTTGTTGGTTTATTTGTCTGTGATAGGGAAACCCTGCAAATGAGGAAATTCAAAATTCTCAAGGTGCTCCTCCATCTTCCAGTCAAGGACCATCAACCTCTGTTGCACCAACAAACTCTTCTACACCAAGGTCAAATGTTTCTAGCTCTGTTGCACCATCTTCTACTCAACCAAGTTCTTCCATTCAAGATCAATCTGTTGCTGCACCAGGAAGGGTTAGAAACATTAAAAATTGTTTTATCTTTCTGCTCTTTCTGCCCCATTTAGTTTTCTAATTCATAGGTTACAATTGTAGGTATATGTGGGAAGAAGGAATGAGGGTTTACTAGGAAGAAGTAAGAAAATCAAAAACCCGCGGGCAACAAATCAAACACAAAGAGTGCCTGCTGTTGTACCAACGGTTCCTCCAACTTCACAAGCAGCTGTTCCTCCAATGGCAACAGCTAATGTTCCTCCAAATGTTCCAAATTCCAGCAACCCTCCTGTGCGCAAAAGGAAGCCTCAAATATCCGAAGTCCTTCATAATATTAGGGAGGCTGCCAAGAAGAAACGCATTTGGAAAGTTTGACTTGTGTTGAAAGTTGAACATTTTTTTTGATGACTTTTGCTGGTATTTTTGGGTTTTTGATGCAATCATAACAGCCTGTGATGGTTTGATATGTTGGCTGTCTATTGAACATGCAATTGTAACAGCCTGTAATGTCTATTGAACATTATTTTTTGTTGTTGGCTGTTTCTGAAAAATATTGTTGTTTGTTTGAGATGCTTTTTATGGATTGTTTATTGTTATTGTTTATTTGTAGATGTTGCTTGTTGGTTATTGTTGACATATGAATTGGTTGTTGCTGGCAAATACAGGGAAATTGAAAAAACAGTGGAGATACTTGCCAATTTTCATTAACATAGGGGGGTATTTGCTAATTAATTTCAAATCATAGGGGGGTGGTTGCTGATATTTATTTATATGCGGGGTTATTTGCTAATTTGCTAACCAAATACTGGAAAATTAGAAAATTTTACAGAATTTTACAGAATTTTATCATTGCAAAGTTGAACAAATAATGAACAAATAACATCTCAAACTCTCAATAATACTTGAATAAATAACATTGTCAATACTACATTGATAAACAACAACACTACATTATATCTTGCATTGAATAAAACATATTAAATTGATTAAAGGTTTCAAATCTTCATCAACAACACCTAAATAACATTGTCAATACTACATTGATAAACAACAACACTACATTATATCTTGCATTGAATAAAACATATTAAATTGATTAAAGGTTTCAAATCTTCATCAACAACACCAGAACAATGGCGAACAATGCTACGCATATAACCCATGAGATTTTCAACAAGATTCGATCATGCCGATAGTTTTCTTTTTTCTCTTCGACGCTACCTTTAGAAATAACTTCATCTAGCTCTTCGATATCATCTGGCAAACCTTGCTCAGCATATTCCCAACCTGGATATTGTACAGTCACCCCAATGGGTTCCCAAGTTGTTCGATATGGGTCACACCAACGGAAAAACTGGCATTGACGAAACTGACAAGAATAATACAATCTTCCTTTTGATGGTTTTGTTGCAGTTTCGACCACCCTTATACAAGATTTCAAATTGCAGAAACAAAATGGGTTAAATGGATACCTCAGATCCATATATGGCTTGCATTTTTTTCTCTTCGTCGCGTTGCTTGAGGTGTGAGAAGACATGATTTCTCTAATTTGCTGGGAATTACAGACTATGAACACAAGAAATTGGGGAAGAAGACGAGCATGATTTCTCTAATTTCCTGGGTATTACAGACTACGAACACAAGAAATTGGGGAAGAAGACGAGTAAAACCCCTAATTTGCTGGGAATTGCAGAATATATGGGGAAGATGATATAAAACGACGTCGTTCAGTTCCTTGAGGAATTTAAGGGTATTTTTGACTTTTCCGGGTATTTTTTGACGCAAAATACACAACCATTCGCATAATTTGCGCGTGCGCTACACGAAAAGCTGTCAGGGGGTTTTGTGACCTTGACTAAATTTCATAGGGGGGTATTTGCTAATAATTTTATCACAGGTAGTTTTCCGACAATTAGAGATAACACAGGGGTGGTTTTTGCAAAAAACCCTTTACTTTACGGTGGTGGTGCTGTTTTGACGACCTTGACGTAAAAGTTATTTATTTCACAAATATGTTTGAAAATCATGTAATATCCAAAATTGCTTTTAAATGAAAAGTGAAAAAAAATTATATATAAATACATATATTTACAATATTAATATACCCATGTGAAATTTTACTTTTGCCAATAAAATTTTTTAAAAGTTCATAAACTATATCCGTTAACGGTTTAGAAAAAAATAATTTCAATCCGTTCCATCTGACTTTTACCCCTATTCGTGTGATAATTAAAATTTATATTTGTGGTCGCACCGTAAGAAATAAAATGTGAAGGGTAAATGTGATCAAAAAGGTCAAAATTGGTATTAGCCTTATTTGAGGGGTTTGATTAATATATTTTAATTTATCCTTAAATAAATGAGTGGAAAAGGTATGTGGCATTTGAATTTTACCACACCAAGAAATAGCCTATGCCATGTAGAATATGTGGATATAAATATTCCTTGTTTTATCAACTCATTTAATTATTAAAAAAAAATTAAAAATAAATAAGTAAAATAAAAGTAAATTATGGTGGAATCATACGTGCTCCATATTATTGCAAAAGCTTATTTAAAAGGAGAAGCTAGTAATTGTAATTTAAGTTGGAATTAAGTGTTTATTTCTAAAAGTTGGGGGTGTATGTTAATTAGTTAGAAAATCAACTAAATTATAAAAAACAGATACATAGGTGCAAAGCAAAAACTTGTTTGCAAACATCTAAAAACAAATTATATGCAGAAAAAAGCTCATAATCTATTTCTAAAAGTTTTTGCAAACACCACCATGCGTGACTCGTGGAACTCCACCTTTTTGTAAAATTACATAAACACCCTTTTAGTTTTGTCCCAAATTAAATGGAGACAAAATCATAACTTTTGTGTCGAGTATATATGCACTCGTTTCATGTCTATGTACTTACATTATTTATTTATTTATTTATTAATTTTTGTTACTAATGTATAAAGATAATCAAGTGAAGTAATTCTTTAATAAAGTAAATCTATATATGAATCCATTTTATACATCATATTCAAAAAGAATATTCAGTGTCAAAAAAAAAAAAAAAAACGACGTCGATTTGCATTCCTAAACAAATCGTATCATTCAAAATACTGAGTGGATTCGAACCAGCATAACCAAATAAAATAATTATAAGTATAAAACAAGAGTCCAAATTAAAGATGTACTAATCGTGTCACCATGCATGAATCACTAACCGATTGCCACAAACTTCACACTAAATCATCAAAAATCACTCTAAAAAAGGCAACTTAATATAAAATGAGGTAATGTATGAAAATTTTGAAAAAACCTCCATTAAAATATTCTCTCTCACACACACACACACACAATTTCACTCAAGTGATGGTATGATGTGTATATATATAAAGGGTTGAGTGAAGAGGATTTTTGTGCTTCAAACTTGTGAAGGAGAGAAAGCAAATGGTTTTTGTGAGCTAATTTAGTTGCTAATTAATTACTCTTCAATATAATTAATTACATCTATTCTTTAATTTGCAGGTACGCGTACACTCTTTAATTTTATTTTATTTATTTTTATTATTTTTTTGGCCTGGATGTAAATGAATTTGTCGATTTTGGTGAGCAGGAGATAAAATATATACAATTTGCAGCTCTCAAATTCTTGGCTTCTTTTCCATCATCTGTAGGTATGATTTTATCCACCCTACTCTAATTATGAATATACATACATTTAAAAGAAAACTGTGGATATATATTATATAATGTATGTATACATCTCATTAGTCACAGGTGTTTTTAAAATCGGACTGGACATTTATAAGTTTGTAAGCGTAAAAATAACCAATTTTTTACGGTGTGAAAACCATTGAATTTGATTTTATTCGGTTCAAATTCAATCCTTTTTTTTTACATGGTCCAGTCAATTTTCCGTCCAATTAATTATTGATCCGGTTTTATTATTTTTTTTTAACGATGAATCGAACAAGATAAATGGCCAATTAAGTGGTGTTTCGATCGGTCCGACTGCTATATATATATATATGAATACTACATTCAAATTTGGTATGACTCGAACTCGTGATGTGTTTTTTTTCATTTTTTGGGTACTAACGATTATATTCGAATACAAACAAACAAACTTGTAAACTCTTTTAGAAGTTTTTCTTCTTTTTTTTATAGAAAACCTGTGATAAAAAAATTGAAATTGATTGAGACATGCGATTAAATTCTACTATTCGATAAAATTAGTAGCTACTAAAAAAGAAAAAAAGACGATTTTAACCTTCAAATGATACAAATTAGGATATAATTATTGTTAAGTTAGTAATGTTAATATTGGAAAATCACATTTTATACCAAATTTTTAACAGTTTACTTATACAATTAACTGAACATCTTACTAGCTAGCTAATTAATTAATCAGTAGGGGATTTATCAAATCCAAATCATTCCAATATATGTAACTGAACTAGCCCTCAGTAACTTTATAAAATAAATAACGAGTTTATTTCATTCATACTCTTACAAAAATATTAAAAAAAAATCGAAAAAAAAAACAGAGATTAAATGCTATATTTTGTTAATACAGCTGAACTTTAGGTACACCAGCCTTGTTCAAGTCATATATACATACAGATACACTCAAAAAAAAAAGAGTACATCCTTTTTTGCGATAATCGAATCATGTCTGAAGATGCTAACATGGTACCGGCGCGCGCCAAAAAATGGGAGATTCCGATATTCGTTTTCTTCAGAGAGGCTAGGTATAATTAATTAAATTGTTTCTTATAAATGCTATTCCATCTTATATAATCGTATTAATAATATATCACGTGCATGTAATTTTCTTGAAAAAAAATTCCCGTTTCGTTTTCTTAATTAGGCACGTTTTCAAAAGGGACGAGCTTGGAATGGAAATACTGCGTATTGCATTTCCAGCTGCCTTGGCTTTGGCTGCTGATCCTATAGCTTCTTTAATCGATACAGCTTTTATCGGTCATTTAGGTAAAAAAAAAAAAAAAAACTTTTGCTTAATTTCTTGAAAGTTTTTTGTCCCCTCTAAATATTTGTTTCGATTATTTAGATATTTTTTGGCTAATGTACTTGATTAAAAACAGGTCCCGTAGAAATCGCGGCGGTAGGAGTTTCGATTGCGATATTCAACCAAGCATCGAAAGTGACGATATTCCCACTTGTTAGTATCACTACTTCATTTGTTGCTGAGGAAAACACTGTCAAAAGAATCAACGACGAGCATCAAAAGAACGAGGAGTTAGAGAAAGGAATGTCGTCCAAATCAATTTCGACGTCAGAAAATCGAAAAGACGAAGCCGATCAAGAAAATGGTATATAAACTTGCACTTAAAAGTTAATAATTAAATGTCGTGTCAATTTAAGTTATCAGTCACTTACGAGTTCCAATGATGCATTTATTATCAATTCCCTAATTTGCACTCATGCTAGCTCATAATTATTCGAAAGAGATAAATCATAAGAAAGGGTATTTTAGTCATTTAAGTATTTTTTTTTTCTAAAATTCAGATATATTTATTAGTTTTCTTAATAATTGTACATAAACCTTAAACTGCACATAATATAAAACAGAGGGAGTACATTTATTTTTTTATCTATTTTTTTTCTTTCCGTTCGTCAGAATCGAAAACAAACAAATGCAAGTCTCTAGAAGCTTCCGGAAGCAGCAATCCGCAAAACGAGGAAACAAAAAACGAGCGTCGACGGAATATTCCGTCGGCATCAACAGCACTAGCTCTTGGTGTTGTGCTTGGACTCCTTCAGACAATATTCCTCGTCTTTCTTGCAAAACCATTCTTAAGTGTCATGGGTGTGAAATCTGTAAGTATTTTGAAATGTGACATATACATATATATAAAAATATAAATATAAATATAATAAAATGTTACAATATATGTGACAAATTAAATAAATATTTAATTTAATTTAAAATATAGGGATCTCCAATGTTAGAGCCTGCACAAAAGTATCTAACAATAAGGTCACTTGGGGCACCAGCAGTTCTCCTTTCGTTATCGATGCAAGGCGTTTTTCGAGGTTTTAAGGATACGAAAACTCCTCTCTACGCTACGGGTAATTATTAATTAATTCGTTATATATTATTTTTCTTCATTATTTAAAAAAATAAATTTGATGTTTATGTTTTGACAGTTGCTGGAGATTTAATGAACATAATATTGGATCCAATATTCATATTCGTTTGTCGATTAGGTGTTAGTGGTGCAGCCATTGCTCATGTTCTCTCACAGTAAGTTTTAATTAACTAGCTTTATATATATATATATATATATATATATATAGTCTAGTATTACTACACAAAAACATTGTTGTTGATATATTTATTAATTATTTGTTTGGGGTAAATTACGGCCAACCCCCTGAGATAAGGTTAAATTACTAAAAAGCCCCTCATGTTTGGGTAATTACAATCATCCCCTCAACTATGAATCTTCTTACACGTCCACCATTATTGTGTCAAATCCAACAGAATCTTCTAGATACCGTGGAATGTTTTCTAGTGTTGTACTCGTTTTGTGCAAAAATGCAGTTTTTGATGCAGCGCGATCTGATATTTACAAGCCAAGAGACACATTTTATGACCATCTTGTATCAAAATGTGGAGCTCGAATGGGGTAAAACAGGTACAAAACGGAGAATATTCCATATAATCTAGAAAATTCCACTAAATTTGACACCGCAAGGATGGACGTGTAAGAAGATTCATTGTTGAGGAGGTGGATGTAATAATTACCCAAACATGAGAGGATTTTTTCGTAATTTGACCTTACCTCTGGGGGTGGGCCGTAATTTACCCATTATTTGTTATATTATTCTCATTAAGTGGTTTTTTTTAGGTACTTAATCACTCTGATTCTGTTGATCCAATTAATGAAACAAGTTGATTTATTACCACCAAGCCTCAAAGATCTGCAATTCAGCAAGTTTCTCAAGAATGGCAAGTTTCATTTTTCGTTTTTCGTTTTTCGTTTTCCTCTTAATTTTTGCATGATAATATTGTGCCGTTTTTTCGCTAAACAATTTTTGTATTGTTATGTACAGGTTTCTATTTACTAGCAAGAGTTATAGCGGCGACTATATGCGTGACACTAGCCGCGTCGATGGCTGCAAGGCTCGGCCCGAACCCGATGGCTGCATTTCAGATATGCTTACAGGTTTGGATGACATCGTCACTTCTTGCTGATGGTTTAGCAGTTGCTGGACAGGTACAAACAAATAATTTTATTTATTTATATATCAAATAAATAATTTTTATTTATTTATTATTTTTTTTAATTTTCTTGGAAAAAAAAATTATGATCTTAGTTTTTTGATGATTATAGGCAATCCTAGCTTGTGCATTTGCTGAGAAAGACTATCAAAAAGCAACGGCTGCTGCGGCCCGAGTACTGCAGGTGTGTGTATATATATGTATACTTCTTAGTTCGAATAGCGTCGATTAATAATATTATATTACACATGAAAATGTCATCAATAAGTACATAAGTTGGATTTTTCGTATTTTTTTGCAGATGGGATTCGTATTAGGATTAGGACTTGCCGTCTTCGTTGGAGTTGGTCTTCAATTCGGATCGGGAATATTTTCCAAGGACAAAAACGTCATTCATATGATCGCTATAGGCGTTCCGGTACCTCACAAATCACTACCCTAGCAAACACATTCATTATTAATTAATTGTATCAAGAAAATTTTAAAAATGAAGAATACTTTTATAAAAAGAAAAACGAAAAGTCTCGAAAACCGTATAGATTAATTGAATTTTTTCTCAGTTTGTGGCAGCTACACAACCTATAAACTCGTTGGCGTTTGTCTTCGACGGTGTCAATTTTGGAGCATCCGATTTCGCATACTCGGCGTACTCCATGGTATATATATTATTAAAAATCAATAAACTTATTAATGTGTTATTACAATAAATCAAGAAACAAAACATCATTAATCATATCTACGTATTATTTTTCTTGCCACTTTTTTTTTTTTTCAGGTTCTTGTTTCTATAGTAAGCATTGGATCCTTGTTTATGTTGTCCAAAAGTAATGGCTTTGTTGGAATTTGGCTTGCTCTAACCATATACATGGGCTTAAGAACATTTGCTGGCTTTTGGAGGTAATTAAAATAATAATTTTGTAATTAAATAAATTAATCATCATACTAATTAACCTAATATTATGTTAATTATGAGCTTTATTAATTTGCACAATTTTATCTTTGCAGAATGGGAACAGGAACAGGGCCATGGCAGTTTCTCAAGGGTCGAGTTTCGTCACCGAACAAATAATCGTAGAATTTTATATTAAAAAAAATGCAAAATAAAAATTCCAACTTTATGAGACGACGTTTATTCGTCCATCCTTTTTTTTTTGGTGTTGATTATGTTGTTCTTAGGGTTTTTTTTTTTTTTTTTTTCTGTATACTTATGTCCTTCGATATGCTCGTATATTTACGCGGTATAACGAATAGATGTTATGTGAATAAAAGAATATGTTTTTGATGACTCAAAACTTTTATTGAGAATTTGTATCGTGATTTTCTTATAACTTTTCAAATCTGCATTTGGACAATGATAAGAATAGAATTTATGCCAAGAATCACATACCTTTCTATAAATCATGAAAATTATAGGCTTAGGCTATTTATTAAGCACAAACATATTATTATTCCATGATAGACTTGTGTTAATTTTCATTTCGTGCAAATATTATATATTTGTGTCGGATTCACTTTTTCGTTACTGTTGTTGTAACTGTTTTAACAATTCATAGAAAAAAAATTAAAAGAGACAACTTTAATGTGGTTCGGACACAATTGTACCATACATCAAATAGGATTTGCAAAAACGAATTTTCTAATTTAGTTTTACAAGCACAATAATAGGTCTTAAACAATAAATCTCGACCGTTTTTCCATGACTCTGATTATGCCGGCCTTCTCTTCGCACGGTTCAACTTTCTTCAATAGGCGGATCGACCTCTTCCCAAGATCTTTTAAACGACTCTGTCAAAGGAAATAATTACTTTCCAATAAACAATTAATGACAATAACTAAATGAACACCCGTTATCATTCATTCGCACACAAACACACAAAGGATATTGAAAATATTAATACTAAATGATATATTTTACTAACAGTTTAAACTTTTAGTTGAGATGGTCATTGGTATCAAAATCAGACCAAATAAAAGGTCCTAAGTTCGAATCTCACAGCCAATTAAAAGGCTTCAAATGTAATTCGCCTCGTTATAGCATAGATTTGACATTTCTTGCATCACTAAAACTTAAAAATCACACTTAGGTCAAATGAAATAGAGCAGTCAATAAAGTCATAAGATGCATGAACTGACTCTGAGCTAAGAATAATAAATGCCATTGATTATTCGAGTAACCTTATATTCTCGTATAATATTTTATTATTCGGTAAATTAGGTTGCCAATATCAGGTGAAGCATGCATAATGCCATCATTGAATTTGAAAACAATTCTAACATGCTTACAATAATATCCAATTGATTTAAAAGTAAAGTTTTCAAATGTATAATGATAAATAAATGGTTTGATTTAATTAATTTATACATGAAATTTCATAAATATTATACGAAAGACAACAAAATCTTTGATGCCGACACCTCCCTCCACAAACGAGGTACAAGTGTTGATTTTCATCCTGTCAATTAATAAATAGTCCCACCAATATTAATTAATATTTCAGTGTACAATTTTTTATTCTTTTCCCATCCAAGATAAGACTCACACTATAGTGCTCAAGATAACGTACCAATTTTGGCTTGCACTACAAATAATTTTAAAAGATAGATCAATAATTATTTAAATTTTTTTTTAATTATTAGCTCATATTTTCTTTTTGATAAAATTACCTCAAAAATCTTGTTTATGTCATAACTAGCAGATAATAATATTTGAGCGTTTGGCTCTTATGTCGAAAATTGTTGGTGGCTAAAAAAATTGAAAGTTGTGTCTATTATTTAGTTAAGCGTTCTGGAAATATTTTAGCTCATCTTATAGCTAAAAATTATGGTGACTGTTGTAAGGTTATACCCTTCATCCGAATTTGGCATTTTACGCGTAAATAAAGTTATTTTTCCTCAAAAAAAAAATATAATATTATGACCGGACAATATATTTTTTTAATTTCGATTCAAATCCCCTAACACTCATTTTACAAAAATACCCTCGTAGTTTTGTTAGATTAAAGTCTTTCATCTTCTCAAATACTACAATTCAAATCGTCCGCCTTTTCCATCTCGATTGACGATAATAACTAATATCAATTGATTTGCGAGGATAAATTGGCAAAATCTAATTAAAGATACATTTGGACAATGTTTGGAAGCAATTTTTTTTTTTTTTGGTATTTATTGTTTCCCAAAATAAATTTGTGTTTGTCAAACTTTTCAAACAATTTCCTCAAAACAATTTAAAAACTTTATATTTCCTCCAAACATCATTTAAATGCTACACTCCAAACATTTAACTGCTACAGTAAAATAATTGGATTGGCACAGTAAAAAAATATGTTCACTAAAAAACAAACTATCACCACCTTAAATTATCAAATTTATTCTTCTAAAATACATTTTTATAACACATTTAAACATGATTTAACTGCTACTATTTTGCCTCCTTTCAAACACTACTTAAAGATCCAAACAAAACTCGAGGAAAGAAAAAACACTACATGTGAGAAACTTTTATCGAATTTTCCCTATTCGAGGAGGCATATAATAGATTTTCCTAGTTATATCCGGAACAAAATAGTCGATTATCGGCCGGCCCCATCGAAGAAATAGAACCCCACTTGGTGTGTCAATATTTGAAACCGATGCATGAACTTAGTTTCAATATACATTTAATTACTCAACCCCACAAGTACCTATTATCATCAAGGACAAATCCATCAATTTTGCCACCCACCCACTTTATCAAGTTTTGCCTCCCATTTTTCCAACTCCATAAAATTTCGTATAATAAATAATAAATATTAAATAAATTAAAATAAAATAAAATATCCCCTGCCTCCCCCATATGTCATTGTCTGGCAGTACCTATCATATCTAATTTCTCACCTAAAGTCACAAGAAAGAACTCCCTTCTTCCTATTATCCTATGACCATAGATAACAACCACCTTCAACAAGTGGGACCCACTCCCTCAATTATTCCACATAAATATAATACAATACTTCAAAAATAAAAAAATCCCAGAAACCAAAAGGCAACAAAGAATTAATCAAAACACAGATTGTATACATGACAGATATGATAATAATAATTAAGAGATATTAGGATTATCAAAGTACAATTAAGACTGTTTCTGAGTTTTCTTTAGTACAGCCCAGATAACAAAGCAGAAAAATTTAAAAACTCATGTTGTAATAATCAATGAAATGATTAAAGATCGGTTGACACATTGGTCGAAAAAAAATATATATGTAAAATTATTTCATGGTAACCATAAAACTTCCAAACTCCTGCATTGCTGCTGTCTTTCAGCTTGCGGCGCCTTGTCCGCAAGCTTTTGAAAGAAGAGCACAAAAATCTTATGTACTTCCCTAATAAGTCTCGTTTGTTTGCTTAGACAACGAGCTGATCGAGTCTCATCTGCTCAAGCCAAGCCCCTAAAACAGATTGATCCATCGAGTCAATTTCAGAATTTGAATTAACAAACTCACCAGAATTTGGTTTGTTCGTCGTCTCAGGCGGTGATTCTTTGACGAGAGACTGCACCCACGACAAGTCAGGCTCTTCTCCACCGTTTTTTAGCTCAAAAGAGTTTGACCTCTTCATACGATTTTGAGATTCTCCACCGATAGACCAATCAGCTTTTCCATTGGGCGATCCCCACTTCGACCAAGCAGCACCTCTGTGGGGCCCACCAAGATCACGTGAGCTGAGGCTACGCAGCTGCTGCTGATGCCTCTCTCGCTGGGCAAGTGCTGAGAGATGGGCATTCATTGGTGATGCTGGATCCATGTTTCTTGGAGACATCCTAGGAGAAGATACACCCAACGAAGCCTGTAATAAAGGGTTGTGTTCAATGTTTCTAGGAGAAAAAACGTTAGTGTTAATCGGGGACAACATGGTCTGCTGCTGCTGCTGCTGGAACTGGTTAAAAACAGCCGATTTGTGCGAGGGAGAAAAAACTCCAAAAGTCGCTGTCTGATCGGAAAATCTTGGAGACGAGGCCATCTCTGCAGAAAAAAGCTCATCAAGATTCGAAGGTGTTAACATGGCATTCAGATTCTCCGGGGGAATATCACGAGCACTGAAAGAGGATCTCAGGCGACTCGACTGCAGGTTGCTGCCAGGAAGATGAAGAGTCGGAACATTCGGCTGAGGCCAAGCGGGCGATGAATGAGAAGACATACCATTTCCATTCGGAGACATGGTTTGATTAAACGAAGGTGACATCACAGACTGAGAAGTGGGTGATCCAGGCAGAAAATTTAAAGCTGCAGCCATGTCCATGAAAGTTGCTGCAGAGGCAGCTGATCTTGGAGAGGGAACACCAGATCCAGTAGAGACGTATAAAGGACGGACCTCTTCCGGTCTGTGTGCAAAGAAGCACACCTGTCTTGCACAGCTCGTGCCATCTTTGCACAGCCTCGTACGATACTGAGCAGGGTGTAGCCAGCACTCGAACACACCATGTGCGTACTCGCACATGTCCCCACGCCTACAAGCACCCTTCCTAAAATCAGGACAAGGCACACAGCTGTAATGAAACTTCCGTGGGTCCCTTCTGCGTGCGTTTTCGCCTGGGTGGACAAATGGGCACTCGGTCCAATCGTGAGAATAGGCCCTCGAGCATGGCCTGACCTTGAATGAGAACATACGGAACTCGTCGGTCGAGTAGATGCTGTTTCTGATGTCCGGTAGTGATGGATCCACCGGGTATTGCTTCTTCTCCGACAAACCATTGGGTGGTTTAGGAGAAGATACAGAATCGGATTGTGAACACGGAGACCTGCTTTCTGGCGATGATGATGACAATACAGGTGAAGATGCATCGGAACTCGATATAGAGACACGTAAATTACATATACCAACAGATCCATCGGAGATGTTGTTCATAAGCAAATCCTCAATGGCAGCTTTAGCGCCAAGAACCTTCGGAGGAGATGTAATCACATCAACCGGTCGGCGACCATTGGCATCTTCAACATTGGGATTTGCACCAGCAGACAACAGAAGCTTTACAACATCGAATGAGTTCACAGAACCTCCAAAAGCAGCACAATGGAGTGCAGTCCACTTGTCTTGACCACAAGATCTATTCAAATCAACTTCGGGCAGAGCAACTATCAACTTCAATATATCGACGCTGCCATAAGTAGCAGCTATCATCAGGGGAGTTCTTTCCTCATGGGTGATCTGCTTTGAATCTCTTTTGCGTACATACCAGAGCCCCGCCTCGTCGACTGCGGATAAATCGAGCTCGATGAATCTCTTGAAAGATTCAACATCATTGTTTGCAGCAAATTCGAGCAAATTGGAAAATGAATCATCGGTATCTACATGTAATTTGTTCATGTCCTTTGTAGAAGATTCTGAATTTGTCTGCTCTGGCCCACTGCACATACTCTAATCAATTGCAAGCAAAAAGGAAGCACTTTCAAATGAAGAAGATACAAGGCAGTAGGTTTGATCATATGGTTTCATATAGCATAAAGGGGGAAAACAACATAAACATGTATTAACAAAATATTTTCTCAAGTGATCAAGATTATCATTACAAAAACATACAATCAAATTTATACAATCTTAGACTGACTATCCACAAAGTTTTGGTCTTATATATAACGATAAAACGAAAAAAAAAAAAAAGGGAATCTTTCCCCCAAAAAAGGGAGAAAAATGGGGAAAATAAAAAAGATTTTCCCAAGGGCAATCAAAGTCAATACACCAGTATGCTAATTCCCCAAGTCAATATTCAAGGATAAGCCAAAAATGGAATCTACCTCTTCACTCCATTTTGTAAAAACGAATAATACCTATAACCTATAAAAAACGCATCTTCATGAGCAAACTGCATATATTCACCAAAAATACACACAACTGCAGCAGAGATTGAAGCCTAACCTAACAAATCCATATCATAAAAGAAAAAAAAAATTATCAAAATAAATCTAACCTAACACAAATCAAGTTTAAAATCCAAAAAGCAAATCAAAAAAAAATTGCTTTAAATCAAATAAACGAAACATATGTCACAAACGCAAAGCAGATCAGTAGAGATTGAAGTCAACGACAACTGATTCCAGTAGCTCAAACTGAAAAAAAATACAAAATAACAAGAGCAAAATTAAGAAAACTCACCAACAATCACAAAAAAATTGAACTTTCCGCCGGAAATCTGCAAATAGATCGAATCCCTCGCCCGATCAAACCGCCGATTGGAGTGGAGAAATGAAAAGAATACAAAAGATGCTGATTTTCATCGAAAACGAGAAAAAAAGCTAGGTACAGAGAAGGATTGAAGAGAAAATGCTGAAAAAGTTATATGTATAGATACATACAGAAGGGGTGGGGGAGTGTATGTATAGGTCTGGAAGAGAGCAGAAAAATCGAGAGAAAGCGAAATGAGGGGGGAAACACTTGTTTTGTTCTGCGGTTTAGTGAGAGAAAGTGCTTTGGGTTTGTACCCTAGAGAGAGAGAGAGTGGGGTGGGGGGGGAGGAGCGGTTTTGAAATTGAAATTGAAATGTGGAGGAAATGCAAATGAAATTCAAACTCGAATGTGAAATGAAATGAGGTTGAAATTTACGCGAAATTTAGTTGAAATGAGAGTCCCCAGTTCGGGAAGTGGGGCCATGGGGAATGTAAAAGGGCTTTTGGACGGTCTGGCCATGTTTGGTTTATTTGCTCCTTTTTGCACTAATAATTATTTTATTAAATGTAGGTGTCTTTTTTTGTCATTAATTAAATATTAATACTTATAATTTAATATTTTCCTTGTAATATTAATATTAATTAATTAAAATGTGAAAAAACAAGTTATAGGTTTAAACAAGTTATACTAGACTAGTATTATATATTCAATTGAGGGTGCATCGTAATTGATGTGTTGTGTTTTGAGGGTGCAAATTGCTATTAATGTTTCTTTAAGGGTACAAAGTGTCAAAATGCTAAATTTCAAGCGTGCAAAGTGGAATTAAGCCTCAGATATTACTTATCGACCAACTATACTTGTCAACATGTTACTAGTAAAGTGCTATAATATATTCAATTCATGGTGCATACATTTTTAATTGATCAATCGAGGATACAAAGTACTATTAATTTTTTTCATAGGTGCAAAGTGTGAAATTATAAATTTCAAGGGTGCAAAGTGGAATTAATCCTCGGATATTGGTTATCGACCAACTATACTTGTCGACATGTTACTAACTATCAACGACAAAACTCTACATGAATTAGTTAAAAATATAGGTAAATTACACCCATCTCTATGAGATAAAGTGTAATTACCAAAAAACTCCTTTTTAGAAAATTACATCCAACTCTCTGCAGTTTATAAATTTCTTACATCCATCTCCTACAAAAAGATGTAATAGC